CTGATTTATGCCCTGTGCATATACACTCCCATTTCATTTTATGAGACACTTCCCATTTACAAATGTGGTCTCAAAACCTTGTTTGTCTAGACTAGAGACACTTAGTAAATTATGTTCATTTCAGATACACATAATATGTTACTAAACTTTTCCTCCAGACATGGAATCACTACACTGTCTTTTCCAATGACTTTAGCCTTCTGGCCATTTGCTAAGGCTACTGCATCTCGTCCAGCTGGATCCACACTTTAAAAAACAATTTAGAATTATTAACAATTGTTTGATTAGCTCCACTGTCTATTAACCATTTGTCTCTGCTATTACAATAGCTAACTTTTGCAATAGCAGCTTGTCCATCTGTTGCCTTTCTTCCTTGCAAACAGTCTTTCTTCAAATGAGTCTTATCACCACAGATGAAACCAGAGACGTGCGGTGAGCTTCATGGCCAGTGAGGCAAGCGCGAAAGCCCCAGCGCCGCGTACACCATAGAGTGGGACCGGGACCTGCTTTATGGCGGACGCAGCGCCGGGACTTTAAAGCCCTGCTGCCGGGGCTTTAAAGTGGTGGCAGGGCCCTGGCGGCATCCGCCATAGAGCGGGACTGGGTCGGGACTTTAAAGTCCTGCTGCCAGGGCCCTGAAGTGGAGGCCCGCTCATCTCGCCGGCCGGCATGCGCATGCTCCGTGAGAGAGAAGAGGGCGAGTGCTTAGGTCCTCCCCGGGGAGCGACTGCGGCAGCTCCTGCGGTCCCCTGGCTGAGGAAGCACTCGCTCGGTGGCGGTCGCGGCAGCAGCTCTTGGCACCCGTTGGCCGAGCGAGAGGGGCAGGAAGTTTGGGAAGTGTGGCCTCTCCCCTAGCATGGCCCTCCAGCTGCGCGGGCTGGGGCAGGGAGGAGGGTAGGTGGGTGACTGCCACTCTGGGCTCTCCTCCCCCTGCACTCACTCACTTACACACTCCCTTCCTCCCTCTCACACACACACACACACACCGAGCGCACCCAAAAAACCCAGGCGTGCACCTCTAGCCGCCCTCAGTCATACCAGTTTCTCGCTTTCGCACTCCACGCAGGCAGGCAGGCAGGCAGCCCCTCTTTCCCTCCCTGCCCCTCGCAGTTCGCCTGGTCGAGATCGAGGTCTATCTCCAAGCACCGGTCTATGAAGCAGACATTTTGGTGCCAGCAATTTGTCCAAGGCAGAGGGTTGAAAGGAGAGAGCAAGAGCGCGAAAGAGAGAGAAGGGGGGAAAAACTCAGCCACAGGCAATTCTTGGAAGTTAACTATGCCTTATCTTGGACCCAAACAAGGACGCTGCCCACCACGCCTTACGGGCTTTGAAAGACTCGCCCTTTTATGGAGTCCTTGACTTCAACCCCCCGAAAGTTTCTACTACAGGCAGCCACGCCATCCGAGCACCTACAGAGGGCCACCTGCGACTTGACACGCGCCTGAGGCAGCACGCCGTCCTGTCCGGCCAGCGCTCTGCTTACCTTCCACTTGGGCAGTGTGGAGGATGCCGCGTTTTCAGCCCCTAGAGTCTCTTTCCCCGTCCAGGGTGGTAGAATTCCAAACCCAGCCAGCTGAGTTGAAGCCCACCGCAGTCACGGCTGTTGCTCCGAAGCCTCCAGGAGTGCCGGCTCCTTTGCAAAAAAATAAACTGAGCGGCGGGAGGGAAGGCGGTCCCTCGAGTCTGAAGTTTGCTCGAAGAACTGACTCCTCCCGGACTCAGCTCTTGTGCAGTCTCTTCTGACAAGAGCGAGCCTCCTCCTTCTCCCCCACTCCTCTCTCCTCTGAAGCGCGCCCTCCGAAATAACCCGCCCAACGTAAGCGTGTTCAACTTCAAGGCATGATTCACTGCTCCCAGATCAGGAGGCGGGAGAATCACATGCCTCCTTTGCATATGAAATTTTTCGCTTTTTAACCCTTGCTTAACTCTTAAAAGGTGAAAAATTCCTTATGCAAAGGAGGCCCATAGTTCTCTTGCCTCCTCCTACAGTTAACACTAAGCAGACTCNAAGGACAGATCATCATGGAAAAAATCTATGTGATTGCCAAGTGTCATCAACTTGATGGCACATAATCAGTCAATTGACTGTTGATCAGCCAACTTTAGCTTCTGCTAAGCAATGCATATTTTTCTACTTGCATAATAATATACTCTAGAATTGTGCCAGTATTATCATAAATCTGACTATTCAAAAGTTTCATGAGTTCCCCTTTTCACTCTTTGAAAACAGGGTCATTATAAATAGCAATCGTAAAAGGTGGTGCCCTTGGATTGTAAATAGTTATCATGATGGGAAACCTAGAACAGAGGGCAATGTATTCTGCTCTGGAACATATGGCTGATAATGGAACTTCACAGCACTGTTTGGGAATTAGTGTTATCAATCCTCCCTAAAATTAGAATGATTCAAGTAATGAGATTTATGTAATTTAGCTTCATTTAATCTTAAAATGTTTCTAACTTGGTAACTATCCAAAGAATGTTGTGGCAAGTTACAATCCATCCAAACAATAAAATTTAATAATACAATTAATAGTACACAATTTAAGGACAGTAGCTAAGAAGCATTAGGGAGAACATACATGTTTATGTTATGGACATGCCGTCCTGGGTGCAAGAGACACATACCAATAGTGTCAGAGTTTGTAGCAATCCAACCAGCACACAAGGAAATAATTCAGCAGGATCCATTTATAGAAAAAACTTGTTTATATACAATAGTATAAAGCATGATGCATGTATACAATACCCATGCAGCTCTTGCAACATGGTAGCAAGTACAAGGACAAGAAGCAGAAGTCAGAATCAGAAATCACAGAAGCACACATATATACAGATCAGTGACCAGCACATACTTTGCTCCTCCCAAACTGGCTTGCATTGGCCCCACCAAATATGCATGTACCAACTCTACAGCTCTTATTGTCTGCCTTGTGCTACTCTTGCTTACAGGAAATACCTTGGACTTTGATTATTTACATATTGCACAGTCCAAGTATGCCTTACACCTTTTTAAGTTTAACCCTTCTCCAAGCTGTTGCATCTTTTGCAAAACTCTGAAGCTGGCATGGCCAAGCTTTCTATGCAAGAGATGAACATATGAATCATGTTGTGCCACATTTCCAAATGTTTGGGCACATTGAACCTTTTGTTGCTGCAACACATAAAGATTATCCTGATTTATGCCCTGTGCATATACACTCCCATTTCATTTTATGAGACACTTCCCATTTACAAATGTGGTCTCAAAACCTTGTTTGTCTAGACTAGAGACACT